ACAATAAGAAAAATATTAACAAAGGTGATATTGTTTTTTGGTTGAAAAAATTTCTTCATTGGAATGTAAATTTGATAACTATATAATTGGGTTAGTGTAATACATTTTATCTACTTGGGACAAAAAAGAATAAGAAAAATGCTAAATTACTTTAAATGAAAATTTTTTCTGTATAATCACAAAACGAGAACCATACATTCCTTTCTTTTATTATATGTGGAAAATCCAAAGTTTGTAATAAAAAAAAGTGATTTTATTATTGACAAAGTTTAAACTCCTGGCGAATGCATAATAAAGTCAGCTAATTGATATATTAAACCCGCAAAGTGTCTAAATATCCTCCTCAAATTTTTAAATTAATATTTATTTAATATTGACGATTTAAATCTGTTAATTAGTGCCACTATCTCCGAGCAAGGCTTGAGTACTGTTGAATAGGTTCCTTTTTTACGAACCGTTAAAATAAAACAAGAGTTGAAAGAGAAGTTGTGATATTCGTGGATATATCTTAAATAAGCACCTATTGTTCACAGTTCTAAATTCTTTTTTTCACTCTGCAACAATAAAAGATCCCTTCTCGCTTATATGTCTTCATGGCACTGTTAATTGATAATAGCTTCATATTAATTATCGTTTAATAATTGCCCCTGGTTTCTTATTCTTGTTATTTACACAACAAACAAGTTTTAAATTCAAGTCCTCCTCCAATTGGTTATCAAACAATTGTTATGTCTAGCTACAAAAAGATTAACAAGCCTGCCTATGTGAAATGACCTCTAACTTAAAAACTACTTCCAGGTAACTTTTTCATCAATTACTATTGCCTTTGAGTCAAAAGTATCTGCACATATAGTTGCGTTATTTTTCATTTAATATCTATTTTTATTAAATTGTGCGTAGGTAGATATGTGTTATGATGGTTGAGGAGATGCTTGACCAGGAGATGCCTGACCAAGTGTTTGACCGGATGCAGTGTTGTGCAATTGGAAAATTGTAACGCTATTGGTTAACCACATTTGGAATGTTCCAATTCCAATTGGAATTTATTAGAATGCTCCAATGAAATTTTATTGGAAGCATAAATGGCACAAC